ACTGAATGCATTATAGCATGAGTACTATTAATGCCTTGTACTTGAGTTAACCGTTTATGACTTCTAAGAGATATTTGACTCCGAAGTGAAATGTAAACTAAGAATAATATTCAGCCAAAGCTCTCATTCGTTCGTGTCGAACAATCGCATTCAGAATAACAAACGCTCAATACATGAACAAATTTTGTTTGCAGGCCGTTGACTCAGCTCGTAATTGATTGATTACATTTAAATATATCACTTACGTTGGTTGCCTTTTAAATTAAAAATATATATCTCTCGTATAATATCTCGTATAGTATTCGGACATAATCTTATAAAGTATTGTAATTAAATGTTACTTTGTTTTCGTAACCAATCGTTTTACGGGAATTCCTTTTTCAAATCATGTAGTATCGATAACCGTATATACTTGTGTGACTCAGTATTGTATGAATCTAAAGAAATCAAAAGTTTACACACGAATTAGCCAGCATGGAAGCAAGTTTAGGAGGAAATTCTGAAGCGATGGCATTCCCCAGTCGTTTTTGGGGTCTGCTCATTCAACAATGCACTTAATAAAGGAATTTAATGATAGTAAAAAATCTCTAAATAAAACTGTTATGAACTACTAAATTGATTATAGAAGGGAAATTTGAACCTTGATTTTTGCATAACTATTTATCAATATAAGCTTCATAGACCAAAACTATTGCATAGTATACTAAACTTTTAATAATAGTACTAACTTGTAGTAATAATAAACTTTTTTTAAGTCAGCCAATCTCGTCTGAAGCGATTTTCCAAGGACTTCCAAAAACACGGAACACGAGAAAGCGTTAACTAATTATGATCTGCAAGGTCATGGTTTTAAATTAAAGCCACGCTATTATTCTAGAAATATGTTTGTAATGGGTGTAATATGCACTACACTAAGCACATTGTAAAAATGTGCTTAGTGTAGTGCCAACTCTCCGTAAAAGCCTTGTTAACGGATAGTAATAGCACTTACGTAATGGTGTTAAAATTACAGTTGTATTGCGTAGTGTATTATCGTAAAAGAAATATATTTTTTATATAATGTGTCTTGACTTCTCCAAAAAGATAACTTATTATCAGAGTTTTTATGAATAAGGGTTTTTATAATGGCGCGTCTAAACGGGCCATGTTTTGCTGCAATTGATGGCTGCACTGTTGGCCACTAATTGCCCGGCCATTACAAAAATATTTTAATGCAGCTGATGGCCGAACAATCTATGGCTGGGCAATGTGTTGCAATAGTATGGCCCATGATGCAGACTCCTAAACGGGCTACACAAACCGGCAACAATGGCTGACGAAATCACACTTGTCGCAGCAGCTTATATTGTTTTAAAAAAGAAACAGAAAAAGAAGAGATTGTGGATTCGACCTTACTTAAATAGGCGTGAAACTGTAGACAATTTGAGTCTAGAAATAAGTCTTGATAATAAATTATTCAAGAACTAGAATGTCAAAAGTAGTCATTTTTACGTAGTAATCTAACGTCAAATACAGCTGATCGCAAAACACAGAATAAAGCAACAGGCACACTTCACTCAAAGCAAACGTCATGTCGCGTAGAAAAGGATACACTATGCCATAACAAAGAGAGTGACTGAAACAACAAGAGAACTGGCCGTGCAATATTGCAGTTGAATTCGATAGCCTAGCGATCGTCCGGCCACCTATCGGGGCAACATCGGCCATATGTGGCTATACAAAACATGTTTGGCTATATAGCCAAACATGTTCTGTATATCGGCCATATGGCCGGGACATTACTGCAATATTGCATAGTGTGGCTGCTATTGTTTGCAATGTTGCCGGCCACAGTGTTGCAGACATCAATTGCAGCAAAACATGGCCCGTTTAGACGCGCCATAATATCTCTTATTCTTAAAAAAAAACTCTAATTTATTATTTGCATTATCTTCATCGGAAACACAATTTCAAAGAAAGCTACGAGAGTTTATTTGTTAAAAAAAACAATGAGATTTATTGGGTTAGAGTTGTATAATTTAAATAACTAATAGTTGAGTCACCGGACGTTTGTAATAACAACCTTTCAACCTTTTAATAACATTATTTTCTCTTCATTTTATAATAGGCCACATAATAGTTTTCCTTGAGGAGTTGAGTACTAGCTGACAAACTCCTAATTCTAGACTTGTAATGTTCTAGGTATGTCAATCTATGGGACTAGAAAATTGCATACAAATAAGAACGGTAATTTTATTAAACTATAAATAAAACTGAGTAGATGGTTTAAATAAATATCAAGTTGTACAATGTGTCGGCCATTTCCGTTGGTGAATTTATTCCACCTTTCTGTTTATAAATACATATAAGCTTATTTTGTATATTGCTGCTGGTTGGTACATGATTAAAGGAAGCGCAGGGCAGATGTCAGCTTTCGCATGAATTTATTGTGAAGTTAACTATTGAAAAGAATGGCTTAAGTAACTGTGAACTCTCAATAAAGGACTCCAAGTAATAGTTCACTCATTAGAAAGCGTTTACAAAGTATTACGTTAGGAGAGATTTAATATAAAAATACGCGTAGGTATAAAAATATATAAGGTCATCGAATAAAATAGTCTTTTTACAAAAATTAAAAAAAAAGAAATTAGCGCGGTTGTGAATTTTGTAAGGTGAACAACCAAGTAAAACCAGGGTCGTTACGTCGCTTAAGGTCACTTCGTAACTCGACACTACAGTGAGATTATCCAGTTACATTTTACACTGAGATTTATGTATAAATTGTGTATGCTAACAGCCCTATATAAAATTAAATTCAACCATATTATTGCACACAGGTTAGTGGGAACTACACTGCCGCCTGTCAAAATCCTGACCACATAACAGTTGGGAGATTTATGGCCTTCATGAATTGTTACTGTAGTTTTTAGTTTTACGATTTAGTAATGATAGAAGTAATAACAATTGCAAAATAAATTTCGTTGTTGTTACACCAATCTTTTGATAAATTAATGATATAGATAGATATCATCATTATGATTAATATTATGCCATAAAGTTCATGTACTTAGCTCGTCAGCTAGTACTAACTTATCTCTGTATATTGGGCATAGGCGAATATCCTAAAAGGTATATAAATAATCATATCCTTATAGAAGTATTTAATGATTGTGATATATGATTTGATGCCTTTTAGCTTAAGCTTATATGTATATAATAATTATTTGAATTTTAGTCTTACACGGTGATTCTACGTAAATATAAATCAAATTTCATCAATTCATGTAGGTTTTGTAGACTCAGCTTCAATATTTTAATCAATAATTTTTCAAGTTAATACAATATTACATTGTTTATAAATAATAAATGAAATTAATGAATCTATAATGTAATCAAAATTCAAATCTGACGTACGTTTAACACCTATTATAAATGTTAATTACTGACATGCATTCATAAAGTTTCTTCAAATTAATTTATGTTCGTTATTTAATATAATGTAAAATACCGAATAATTTGAGCCTGCAGGACTAGGCTTTTGGAAAACATGTAAGGTTCATAAGATAATGCATTGATGCATTACATAAATTAATAATTTAATATGAAATAAAACTGACTGAAACGTAGTTTGTTGTCGATAATATATTCGGGATTCCGGATTAGTCATAAAACGTTGCATGGAAACAGTTCATTTCGTTAACAAAAGCGGCACAGTAGTTATTGACATACATCATCTTAATATATATAAATCACGTGTAACGTTGTTTGTCCGCGATGGACTCCTAAACTACTTAACCGATTTTAAATTAAATTTGCACACTGTGTGCAGTTTGATCCAACTTAAAAGATAGGATAGCTTACATCTAAATTTATAGCCGCAATATTATTTTATTGCAAATGATCTGTTGATTATTTGACAGTCACAAATCTAACAGATGGCGCTGTGTTGAAAGTACCAACGTTTCACATAAGCTACAATTTAATGGCATAACCACCAATAAAGCATGGTGGTACCCATGACTGGTGTTCTCCTACCGTTTCCCTTGAATAGTTTACTACTATGTAATATAACAAAAACCTTAGCCACAGCAACGCTTGGCCGGTCTGCTAGTGTTACTATAAATCTTCACTGAGTAAAATGCAAATATTGGTCTTTTGTAATAAATCGGAACTCTCGTATAATGCATTCAGAGCTCGAAGAATAAATACAAAATACAATGAAAGAGTTTATAGACCAGGACACTGCAAATAAGAAATGCATTGAGGAAGGCTTTGAGCATAATCTAAAGTGTTATCTGCACAATACAGAAAGGGATTTGTGGATGAATAATACTAGAATGTTATACGAATCCCGAGATTGTTAGTTGTTCCTATTTTTCAAAAGACATATATTTAAAAATCCTCAAACTTTATTGCTAACATAATAAAACACGCGATAAAAAATATATAGGCTACGGTTTATAAAAATTACGTGCGTCACCTTGGTCGCTAACTAAAATGTGTGTTTATAGGCACCACGGTTGGATTTTCTTCGAGGTAATACGTGTTCATTGTAATGGATTGCAACTGTTTTCATTACAGACGCAGTGATGCTTGACTGGCTTTTGTTTGGATAATCAATTATTGAATTTGCATTACTAATTATATCTTTTTATCCGGTTTTCCGGTTATTATGTACACTTGAGTGCGGTCAAGATTTTGTAGTTTTTAAATTCAACATTATAAACTATGGCATACTACGCCGAGTGTTAGAACTTTAACACGTCATTTTAATAAGTATATTTCAATTTTAAGTTACAGCCTTATTTTTTCGTATAATGTTATTTTTATGTGCAGGTTAGATAAATATTCAAATAAGTTTAATTTGGAAATGTAAAATAATTAAATTTATTGTCAATCGACTATCCTTAAAGTTACGTCTACAAGTATAAAATAAATTATTATCTGCAAGTTATCACTTACTAAATAAAAACCAACCAACCATTATTGCGCAAACGTTTCCAAAAAGTATATAAACTTACTTGACATCATCAATCTTCGGGTATGTGCATATCCTCAGGGTTTTCGTATTAGATCCGACCGCGTAGAGCTTTCCGTTTGGATGGAACTCGGCACACCTCACAGCCTGAAGATCCTCCAACACCGTAACAGGCTTGAACATAGGTCTCGATCCATTTGTTTCAGACACGGCGTTTGGTGCGGACAATGGAGCAGTTTGAAGGCCGCCATTTCTATTCTGCGCCTAAATAGAAAATAACACCTTTAAAACGATATTTAAATAATGTAAGTAATGAAATCATTGACTTTTTGAGCTAACAGTTTAAACACATTACCTTTGAAATTTATTAATAAACACGTACAGTTTATTAGTCGTAAATAATATCGACTTTTCAAATATGGTACTAAGAAGGCGTTTTACTCAAAATACTATTTATTATAAAATCACGCAAAGCACTTATAGGTATAAAATCGTAAAAGGACACAATATAATAATATAATAGAATAATACAAGAGTGGTTTATAGACACATATCCATAACTTCTTTGTAGAAGTGTTTATTAGCAAAGAGCTCTCCTACCGCACGTAGACTCCACTTATGTTTCACTATGTATATGTAAGATATGTCATAACTTACACTTATTTACAATTGTCTTTCTTTGAGTTATTGTTTATTAGTTCACACACTTTCTTTAACCTACCAAAGCTAAGTTAATGTTCAATTCTCATTCCTATAAGTGTTTCTGATTGTGTTTTGAGAGAGGAAACAATTATTCCAGTACTTATATAAATGCTATATATATATATATATATATATATATATATATATATATATATATATATATATATATATATATATATATATAATAAATTCACATATTTCGGTGCGCTAATCTAGTAAGGTAAGTAACAACTATACTAAATGGGTATTAACCCATTTATTAATATTATTTGTGAATATAAATAATATTAATAAATTAATAACTATATTGTATTTTATATTCGAAATCAAATTTAGTTGTTATGTTATAATATTTTTTCTTCTTAACAAGATTTATTATTATTATTTTTCATCAGAATTTATAGTTAAAGTGAAGTAACGTGGATATACGTGGCAGCTACTAATTATTATTATATATGTACATATACTAGGCACGAATACTTCGGAAAACACGATAGACTGATTAAAAGTACCAAGTCCTTTTGCAATAACTTTCAAACTACAACAAATATTCACTATATTCACATTCTAGTTCCGAAAAACATACGAATATGAATAATCTTTTACCAAAATTGTAACAAAAAATAATTAAAACGATTTTCAAAATAACAGTTTGGCTTTGGTTACTCGCAATCCATTGCAACTGTACTGGTCAAATTTTGTAACAAAAAAACAGATTAGCCGCTGACGTCATCAAATGAAAGTAGGAAATTCATCCGAAATACATAGCTACCTCGCTCTCTAAGCCCACCGAGCATGAACTTGTATGCATAATTTGACATTTACGCTTTATTATAGGGTACAGACCGAAGCTATCTAGAACATTGTAATATAGCCCTTCACCATATCGAAAACAATGACGTATTGTATAGAATGTGTGTTGTCCCCTATTCGATCGCGTTTATTGTATTTGGCACGACTATCTACAACTTACTAAAAAAAACATAAATATACAATTCTACTAGGAAGCTTGTACTACAGCCTACTGTGTCTACTGTGTCAGTAGTGCGAGGTAAGTGTCCTAAAATGATGACTAAAACGATGTCCAGATTGAGCATTCTGTTTAACGAGCTGGATCTGGACATCCATAGTAGCTCACCTCACACTCACACCTCACGATTTTCGTTTAATTTATTTTTATTTACTTAAGTTTGTTTAAATTATATTATTGTTTTGCTTAATTAATTTTATTACTTCTTGTAAGATATGTTTGCCTGTAAGTGCTTGACACATTAAAAACTGTATTTTACTTTTCTTCTGTCAGTGTATCAGTGTGCCAAGCGTTGGCAAGCTTTTATGAATAAATAAATAAAATAATTATGTTACGACAACTGTTTAGTCAAAGTAATTTGCTTTGAATATAGTTGGCCATAAAGTTATGACAAATTTCTATTAAATGTTTCCTTATGAGTCTCGTGTAGGTACTACTATTACTAGTACTATTCGATTTTTTTTTGGATTATAATGAATAAAAATAATAATTGAAACTTCTTCAACTTTGTTAGGTCCTCGCCTCAGATCCCTGTTTCATGATCATTTGTCAATCTAATAGGCAAGTAGGTGATCAGCCTCCTGTGTCTGTACACAGCCAGGGATCGAGAGTTGCACGCTCAAGCAATTAGGCCAATACTGCACATCATACATCTATTAGACGTCCGATATAAGATCTATCAATTTTAGTTTCGTTACGAATTTATTTAACTTGATGTTGCCCGCAATCCTTTCTTCCGAAAATAACGTTAATAAAAAGGTCGTTGCCACAAAGGAATCAAAAAAGCTTAATCGGCGCGCGACTCGAAATACCTTTTTTGATACATGACTAATCCTGTGGGCTGTAACCCTTCTAACGTATATGTTATTAAATGTACCGTTAAAAATACTAATTTCCAACAAAATTGTCGATTTTCCATCGCTATTTATATGTTATAACAATGCTTCACGACGTCGAATGTTCGTAATTATACTGATTAACATATTCAAATTTTGCAACGGATTTTAAAGCGATTTTCATCAATATATGCCGAATCAACGCTTAATATAACTTTCAAAGTCGAAACTTAGCGCAAAGTATGACTTCTGTAAGTCAAACGAGCCTAAGGGATTTCGTACAAACAAAACTTCTCCCTTTTCCTTTCTTTAAATTCACGCTATTTTCGTCAAGTATTCTTATACGGAAATACGATAGTTTTGAAGTATCAACTTTCCATATAATTTGTATAGTTTACTATTCGGACAAGCATTCTATTCGGACGATGTTCTTGTTTCCGTTTAGTTTCAAATACGTCCACGAAGCCGTTTCTATGTTTTCATACAAAAATGTATCGTTACTCTTCTATTCTAACAGCTATTTGATTTTACTTATGATTTTGCTAAGGTCTGTGACTGCGTACAAAAAATACCTTCTATAAACACTCCTCAACCATGACTTTCTCAAGTATTAAAACGCTTTAACATTTTCCATACAAATATACTAACGACGTTTAATAACTCATGATAGCGCTACAGGTCGCTCTTCGTACGAGAACCCGGACGTAATTTACGAGCAGTTACACTGTAATTGTCGAATTATCTATTACAGCCTTAGAGAATAAAAGTTCTTATATACGCGTAAGGAAACCAATTAAGCGAATTATTATCAATTACGAAACCAAAAGAGGAAAAGGCGAATGTTATCAATGGATATGATACGAGTCTTGTTACTCAACGAAAATGTAATTCAAAGAGAGAGAGAATATTTAATTACGGCTAAGCTAAAAAATAAATTACTATACAAATACACTGATTACTCAAACTACTTCAATGTCTAATTTAGTATATAATAATTATAGTTAATCATTGTACCGTTAATGAGAATTGCCATATGATACAAATCCCCACATTGAAAAACGCATTGAAGCGCAAATTGTAATAAACAAGATATGAATAGATCGTTTGATTTGTTTATGAGATATCATTACATAGACAAATGTAACAAATTCTATAGACATATTGTTTATATTAAATGGAAATATTGTGCTAAGTTAAATTATGTTGCGAAGACTATCCATAATATATTTCATAAATATTTGAACTAACTTCTATTACTCTTTAATATATATACAACTCCTTTTTATATATATGTATTAACAATTAAAAAGGGTAGTGGCTGTATGAAATCCTGTGGCCCGATTTATATCTTCTATGCAAGTAAAGTAATTGCATAGAAGATATAAAGACATGGTCTGATAAATGTCTAGCAAGAGATGTACCACTTGGGATAACCACCTCTATATTCCTGCTCGTAAAAGATTCAGCCTGCATTTTAGGAATAATTACAAAATGCTTGGCTATAATAAAACAGACGAGTATACGACCGGTTATAAAAATGCCAACTTACGTATCCAAGATGCGAAAGTAAATATTATGCGCACTAAATTGAAATTATAGTCAGAACAGACTGATTACTAAAAACGTTGGCCGCATAAAACCGCGTAGTCATATCACATTTGCCGATTAGGTAATACTCGATTTTACATAGAAAGCCAATATTACGGTAACCGTTTGGAACATTATGCAAAATCACTTTCTTTTCGATGGCAGTTAGAAAACATAATCGCTCGTTTTTTATTCGTGTAGCCGATATATGTATTTATTCTGTATTAATTACGTAAAAAGTAATTTATTGCTTATTACCGTTATTCTTTAGGCTATTAATCTTCTTAAGCATTACGTAACACGATCTCGAACTTTTCCACAAAACTTAGCTCCGTCTATTCAACGTCACGTCAGTCTAACGTAATAGTGTTATACCACGTTCATAATCATTGTATTACATCATGCCATATTAACCTAAAAGTATTCTGATGAAACAATATATTAAGTATAATAGAATTCACATTCGCATTGCCAAAATTAGTAATTATTTACCCTAAATTCGTGTTTGAAATACCTAAAATTCACGCCATTAAGTAGAGATGAAAGATATGACGCGTAATTCATCAGATAACAGTGAAAACCGTAATGTATAAAATATAAAATAAAGCCTATATACTAAGCATCCGTTACAATATGCGCTCAGGATGGTGTCGCGGTTCACTGGAGCTGAACGGATCTTGACAGCACCATTGCTTCCAACGATTTCCCATAACAAAGCTATGATCACTCTAGAAAATTATCAAAGTTCCAATCCAAAGAAGCAAGAAATGTTGCCACAACTTCGCATTTACGCACAGCATCTTAATTTCGCTTAGCGTAAAATAATCACATAAAGGTAGGTACTAGAAAGTGCGCACAAGTAGCACACACACATAATGAAAACATTAAAACAGAACTAAGGCAGCAGAAAGAACAGTATTTAATAAAATAAGTCATCTCACAATGACCCGTTGCCTTAGAAAGTCGTGCAATTACCTGCAAGCCGGTGATGCGTTTGGGTGGCAGCACTTGTGGAGACTTTTCCGCGAGGTTTTCCATTGAATGACGAGTTAGAAAATTTTGTTTTTGAAATGAAGCATTCATTTTGTACGCGCTACGGCTAAATTTCGTAGCGGGAGCAACGATACGATTTCCATTTTCATCGTCATCCTCCCATTCGGTGACAACTTCAGTGCGGACATCTTCTAAAGACCGTGATCTGCTGCAGGGACAAGCGGGCGAAGTTGCTTTTGGATTGCGTAATTGTCGGGGTCTATCCCTGTTGAGGTACAAGTCAGCAGTGTTGCTTGGAGTTGGCGCACCCGCTGATCGGTAGCTGGGTGATAAGAAATAGTAGTCTCTTGACTTATTACTATATGCACTCATCGCGGAAAATTCGGAATACGTAGAAGCCTTTGATGACGAAGTCTTAAAGTTTCGCGTCTCCATTGGATCGGGTGGGCGGAAATAAAAATTAGGTTGCACTTGCCGGGAAAGCGGCCAGGGCCTGAAAGGTGGCACGTCCATATATTGCGGCGGTTTTGACTTCATTTTGATCGCGATAGAGCATCCGAGCGCGGTAATAGCGGTTCCGTGCGGATGTTGCTGTGAAAACTACGCTACTGTTGTAGTGTACGGCGAATGGAGCACGCTGTGCCCACTACTAGCGAGCCGCGGGTTCGACAGAGACAGGGATAGAGAAAGGCATATAAGCTTTCCGCTTGATCCGTAGAACGCCAACGTAAGTGAAAGGGGTGGCACACGCGCCATAGTTGCCTATGCGTTAATAGCGCACACGCAGGTTATTTATTATATTCACGGCATTTTGACTGGTGATTGCTATTCTTAAGAAAGAAATACTTTTAATATTATTAACTAAACGCAGAACTAAACATAGACTAAAAATTGTAGCGTGCATGTATATTTTATTGATCAATTCACGGCTTTTCGAATCAACCTATCGATTGTCATGCCCACGTACAACTTTCGCTTCTTTCTTACGCCTGATTAATCCAAGAAACAAACGTCCATATTATTTTGTCATCTCTACTTATTGAAGTAGATAAAATAGTAATTAACGACACAAATATTAGATCACCCACGTAGGACTTATTAGAATAATGCAAGAAAATTCTAACATTTAATTAGTCTCCATATATGTAACGGATGAACCCAAGGTTCCACCATATATAGTTCCCATAATAAACAAGTTTATGTCAGATGAAACTCATCATAAACTCGAGCAGCCCACGCCAGAAAAATGAATCAATAATTACGACCACAATATACATTGTAATGAATAAACAAGGACAAATACTTGAAGGAAAAAACAATTGAACGATTCTGCAATTGTTATTATTAGCGATGACTAGATATTCCGACTTCAAGTAAACTATTATTAATGTGAAGTAAATTAGCGAACTATTATAAGTAGTGTACATTATCCATACTGTAGTGACTAACATTTGAGTACGAATTCCCTGAATGGATAAGGAGCTGCTAGGATCGCCTCAATTACGATAAACGTTCGTTACGGCCTCCACAGCTGGAACCTAGACCTAATTTTCCAGCACGACCAGTTAGATAGATATTTTTTTATACAAAACTAGTGGACCCCACAGACGTTGTCCTGCATGATATTTAAAGCGATTAGGATATTAAGCAAAGTATGAAAGTACCGACTGCAGTGCCATCTGCCGGGCTGATTTGTGAATCTAAACCATTCCCAGATCCCCTTGAACACACACAAAAAATTTCATCAAAATCGGTCCAGTCGTTTGGCAACATAAGAACGTCCTCTAAATTATTTGTCTGTATCTTTCATTCGATCAATACAAAAATAAATTGTTTAACCCCTATACAAAAGCTAATAACGTTTAAAATAATTCCTGTTCCGTATTCGTATAATAGTTAATTTCTAAGCAGTTCTACTTATAGTATAGTTACGATAATTTATATAATATAGAGATAATAATAATATAATTCATATAATAAGATAACATATACAGAGTAAAAATCGATATTTATAAAAAATATGTTGGAGGTGGTCAAGCTGTCAAAAACTACGAAAAAAAATAGTAAAATAAAAAATTATCTGAAGAGTAGGTATTTGTTCGGTAAAACGATGATCTCAAAACAAAAATACAGGTAGGAAATGAATTTTTATCGTGGATTAATTAAGAGCGGCCACAGTGCACATCTATTCCATCCTTCGTCATATGTTTTGTTAGATAACAAAATGTATCACACAATAATCAGACAGTATGTAAAAATTAAGTAATAAACATTTATACACCTATAAAACACCAATGGATTTGTAAAATTACATCATAACTGATACTGACTCATAGTTAACCAAAAAAAACCTTACATGAAGAATGTCGACTGTAAACATTGACACATTATCATTTGTTATCTCCGGTTTATTAATTCCTATTATAATATTAGGTATTTATGAAAATGTCTTTACTTCTTATGCGACAACATTCCTTCGCTATTATCTTTTAAATAACGTTATATTTATACAGTGTAAAGTATTTATAACGTTATAAAGACTTTACACACTATAGAGACTCATTCGTTATAACGATAAACTCTCTATAATGTAAAAAAGAGTTAAATTAATTTGGTTTAACCCAATACCCATACATTAATTCTTCCCTCTTTATAACGACATCTCTCTATAACGAATAAAGAAACTCGGTCCCTTGAAAACCGGTATAAAGAGTTTACACTGTATATACAACTGAGTGTATATATAAGAGACATATTATTGTCAGAGCTTCAAGACGCATACGCGAGTCTCTATGAGCACTGTTTCGGCTCTGAATTTTACACTCAAAACTTAAAATAAAAATCCATTTTTTTCTCAAATCTATAATCTATGATCATCGATTAGCCGAAGAATATTTGACTGTATGCGTATCGTTATCTGAGATATAAATTAAATACGTTTTTGATGGAGGAAGGACAAGGAGCGGTGGAATCGTTTCGGAGCCCAAGGCACACTTTGGATCGCAGAGCGAGAAGTGTTATAGTGTGTGTGTATAAACACGGTACATAAAAACTTTCAAGCTAGTTATATTATACCCAAAACTATTCCTCACCAGAAAGGAACGCTAGTGACAAGGCTGCCTAATCCAACACGTATTTTTTTTTTAATTGTACCGGATTTTCTGGAGTATAATTTTGTGTGCTCTCTGATCTTAATGTCTCATACACACTACTGTAAACGCAAACCTAAAAATATATTCATAGTAACCACATTTTTTACATCCCGTCTAAATATTGATAAATACGTTATAACAAAAAAAAAACACAGAAAATTCATTACTTTTCGAGCATTAAAACTTCACGAGTTAGACATTTCCGTTTTTTGACGTCCATAAGTGTACATTGTGTTACCTATATGAATAAATGATTTTGACTTGACTTGACTTAAATTCGAGAAAACAAAACCATTGTTCATATTATCAAAAAGCCTTGTATATTAATAAAAGTGACAAAACAATCTTTCATTAAAACACGACTACGAAAAAGATTTTATATCTTTATTTATACAAATTCATAATCAATATATATATATGTCTCATTAAAGTCTATTATTAATAAATTTATTTCAATTACGTTTAACAAAGGCAAGTAATCTGATTGAACACAGACACGGGTATGGATTTATCATTTATAGCTAAAGAAATTTAATTCGACCCAAAACTAAGTTATGTTTATATTCAGAAATTAATTGTATCATTGTTACGAAGGTAATATTACTTCGTTCCTAAGCTGATAATAAACATCATTAATTAATACCCAGACTGTGACAGAAGGCTTCAGGTAATACGATACATGGCGTGAAGGATTCGTTTATGAACGTTGAATAAACGTAGAATACTTTATTACTTCAATACTGCAGATATATTTTATATAAAAAACGATCAGTGCCTTCTAACCTGACTACTACAGCCAAAGGACATGTATAGCTCGCAACGCGGACCTCATTTGTTGTTAAATTGTCAATTGTCAAAATATTAAAAATCTTATATTTTTATTCACTGGAGACATAGATAAGGACAACGCGTGATAATATTCCTTTTTATTAAATAATCAAATTCAAACTACGCCGTAGTCTGAATCAATATTATCTATGACTAACAATAGTTATAAGATAACATAATGGTAACTGTTATATGGAATAATGTCAAACGTTATAAATTCTGAACAGATACTTAAGGAACTTGTAAAAAACTATGATACAAAAAGAATTTATATGATGAAAGGCGTATCTAAAGAGAACCTCACATTTAAGACGATTTGAACCCTACTTATAGTCATTTTGACATGTCACGGAGCTTTTGTAAGCTTGTTCTTATATTCGCATTAAAGCCAACAACTGAAAGGCCACATGATTGCTTTAGAATATAAACTTATAAATAAATTTACGTCGATTGCTCAATCGATATTGATCAGATGCGTTGCTTTTTAATGGTAATTGAACTATATTCGATAAGTACCTAACGACTTGAAGGACGTTTGTGTGATAACATCGCACTTAATCAATGAGTCTATCGTTATAAACCATTTACTAGTAATTAGCCGTTATTGACGATTCGTTAGAAAACAATCCGTCGGTTAGTTGTGACGGTTACTCGCCAGTCGCCATTTATATGTCCATGTAAGGGTGTGTAGGTCGCGACGAACCACTCGGGCTGCTAGAGACCAAGCCATTTAAAGTTACCTTGCTCATAACACGATGTTATCGAAATTTTATTACGTAAGTTTAAATATTTTTTCCAAAACGACTATAACGATATATTTAAGTAAAACATTGTTTGTTATTAATATAAAAGTTAAGTAAATCTAAGATACTTAGAGTCGTCAATTTGAAATGTACTTTCCCTTCTTTATTATTATTACATTAATTACCACGCATTATGCTTTTCCTCACGTTTATTTGCGTAATAGGTAAACGAGTCGTGTAAAAATGCAGTTTCTCTTTAAAATTCTTTCATGCTTATTGAAGATAAACTAAAAATTAAAAAGTAGTTCACGTATAACTAGAACATAAATCGTGAATGCTTCACCCATGGTTGAAAAAAATTAATTGCACGAAATATTGCAATGCATTCGAGATAAACATTCTTTAATTGAATTGGGGAGGTTTGTTCTCATAACTAACGGTATTTATTACTTCCACTCTCTCCACTTCAGTCCATTTTTTAATCTTATATATTAATCATATTTAAGCATATTTGGTCGATTAAATATCGCAAAGCGGACCGCTTGGTTATGAAAGAATAGTGTTATCAAGAACAAAAAGACTGTTTAACAAATACCTTGTTATTTCTATAGGACAGACTCTCATCATGGGGTAATGGAGATTCCGTACGATGCCGATCCGACTCCCATCCAATGTGCCAAATATCCAAGGAATCCGATGACGATTTTTTTGTATCAATCGAACTCTTTCTTGATAAGGAACTTGTGGAGCCCACGTAATCTCGTTTCATATCTCTTATATTGCTGGTGAGCGAGTCTCGTCTGTTATAATTAACAACGTTGCACCGAGAGAGATTTGGGAACGACCCCATAGAATGCCTTTTAGAGTTCGGCTTCTGTGTAGGGCTCGGAGTATCTCTCCTTGGTGGAGTCTGTGATGGACTGTATCGGTCACGCCGAAGAATACTGGGGAAAGTAGACGGATGTTCTAACTCCCTCACAGGAGACGGCGTTAATCCGACTGAACCCCTACGCCTGTCACCAAATAATTTGTTAATAATAATTTAAAAAATATAACGACCACTTCATTTCGTATACAGACCTTATTATAAGTCCATTCGTAGGAGATATACAATCCCTATAATACCCTGGTGTTGATTCCCTACTGTGTAGGTATAGTGACGATCTGTACGGAGTACTGCAGTGACCATGCACATCACAGTGAGGGTCGTGCTCTATAGTTGAGCTCACTAATGGAGAATGACGTCCCTCACCCTCTAGAGTCATTGTTCCGAACATCGAATCCAGCTGCCGCATAGCAAGAGCCTTTTTCACAGCTGTCATTTTCACTTATCTTATTTATTCCTCTTCGTTTTAATTTCATTCACCCGGTTAATCACAATATCGTTATTTGAACGTTGTAGTAAATAATAAATTAAGAAATAGGTATGTCCTCTAAGTATGCCGCGCCGCGACTGGACTGATCGGACGGCATTGTGCGCAGAACGCTTACCGATGACTCACGGCGGCATGCGCTCGCGCAAGTCTACGTTTATCAATGTGCTACAATTATACTGTACATATATGCAAATATAGGTGACAAGCAGGTAAATAATAGACAAACACCGTGTTATTATTTATTAAAAAACTTAGCGTGTAGGCGCGACTTCAAGTTCAGACGAAGGTTGCTTGTCACGTCTTCAATAAACACAAATATTGCGGTTGTTATTGACATATCATTTGTCATTAAAACGTTGGCCATAAAATAATACAACATTAATTAATAGGGTAAACCTACGCTTAATGATTAAAATTCAAAAGGCATTACGCACGACGGGAGCTCTTAGAACTAACGTTAAGGTGTTAATCTAACGATTCTATCGGCAATTTAATTATCTGCATTCACTTAATGCAGCTCTACTAATGTTATAGATTACCAAAAAAACTGGTTTAAAGTTATAAAGGTAATTAGTTAAGAATTTATTTCGAATATAAACTTTTAAAGCAAATATAATTAATACTTTCATATCAGCTGTCCTTGAAAATTTCTGAACAGCTGCATCATCAAAGGATCACATTGTATAAAGCTATATTAAGTTCAAGTAGCATTTCGATCGTTTAAAGAGTCTCATTCATGGTTAAGATGTATGATTATTTCAAATGACGGTTCAGTCTTTTAAACTCATGGTATTAAAACTGTTTCAGATAGATGACAACAGCGCAGTACTTACTGATATAATATATAAAATGATTTACATCACGGGGGTAAGTGTAGTTTGAAATTCGGTTTTGAATTTTTTAATAAATATAGCATAAAACGTCGACTATGGAATTTAAAAACTCCAATCTCTAAACAAATGTATGCGGAGGTAATGTTTTGGAAGGCTAACGAAATTAAAAATCATATTTCGATGTAACAAGCGATTTCATGATACACACATGTAACTACGTACAAAGTTGACATCATATTTAAAAATATCTGAATAATTTGTAACGAGTACTTGCACAAGTCATTTTATTAATCTGGCGCGTTTTTTACCCAGTTAATACTATAAACATACCTAATTGAACTATGTATAAATATATATAGGGAATCTTAACAAGTACTTGCGCTCACGCTTTAAAAAGCCCTACTGTAGTCTCACTAAGGTATAATTCGTAACCAATTCGCAACTCGATCAGCTGGCAAACAACGCGTCAAGTTTTCAAGTCGACCATTAGAAAGAAAAGAAGAATCCCTCCCCCGTATGCGACAAGATATTCACAATAATTGTTCCATGTGCCTCGTACGAACACGAATTATTTGCGTAATTCGCCAGTTTTTCGGGTTTTAGTTAACTACTATACAGTTTATGCAGTTGTTGACATTTTTCACCTTACCAAAGAGGGTGAGGAAATATTTGAGGTACCGGGAGGACTTTGGACTTTATTTAGTAATTAAGTTGTAGTTTGATTAATGTTTAATTTACGTTTTTTTATCTATTTAAATTACTTCTGTTTTCTGTATCGTATATTTAGTTAAAGAATGTATTCTGTTTTGGCTTTATATAAGTGTAGCTGTAAGATTACTTACAAATAAAATATATAAGCAACACAAGCTGCACCAGTACTAGAAACAATAAAGAAAATCACGATGGAAGTACGTAATTAAATACGAGAGGCAATTTGTATGTAGTTTGATGTAACAGTACATTTTAGAAACACGGATACGATTTTAGATTGAACGTGGTAACGACGTTAATGATTATGTAATTACGTGACATAGGATGTCTATTTGTTGTTATTATTCATATAACTCGCTAACAATAGTACTTCAGTGCTGAGTGTACTGATATTACGATACGATACTGATGTTCGTAAAAGCCATTCATTATTAGCCATCCATGTAAGTACACAGCCCTATAGCTTATACAAATGTCTAAGGTTTATTGATGGCTACACAAACGACACGATATCATCAAGCAATAGTCGGCATGTTGGCTCGACTATTAATCCTGTGGTCGTGTGGTCGCGTTCTATCTATAGTATACAATCTATAATGTTAGGTGTTTAACACTGGCTCGTCCTGTGAAGGACGACGTGAGAACCGGCATGCCTTTGAACCACCTTTTTACACAAGGTTCTACGGTGTGTCGGACACAGAAGGCTGATCACCTACTTGCCTATTAAGGAAAGAAAAAATGATTACGAAACCGATACAGAAATCTGAGACTGAGTACTGGTTTTGTGTATATCTTCTAAAGATTGAAAACACCTTGAACTTTCATCATGTCATGTGAGCCAACAGGTCCTTAATGTCACCCACCAATCCTAGTAATATAAACGCGAAAGTTTGTAAGTATGTATGTTCGTTACTCTTTCACTTAAAAGCTACTGAATGGATTTGAATGAAACTTTACAATAATATAGCTAGATATATAAAATCGATTATCTCCCAAAATTAAGCGACATAAAAACTACTTCGCCTTATGTTACACAAATTTACCAAAACTATGCAAAAATTAACAACTACGAACCGCTTCTAACTTAAAGAAATTGTAACTAATACAAATTATATTTTGTAACGCTAATTTTGTTTACGCTCTAGAATTTACTGTTTCGGTTAATCGGGGCAAAATTCAGATTCACTTAAGTAACTTTCAACATTTTTTGCGTATTATTAGCAATTTTAAATTTAGTTTAACTTTTTGTAATGGCTTTACCTAAATTATTAGAGCTCACACAAGACTATGAGTTATTTCAAATATTTTTATATAAACTTCAAAACATCCATGTAAACTCACATATATATCTGTTTCTTTTTTGTCAATTTGTGAGAACATTGTGGCAAATATTTTAACCAATGTAATATACATTTCACTACAGCAAATTAAATATTTAAATATAGTATCCACATTAGAGAATATTTGAAATATCTTAAGATAAAAGCATAACACTTGGAAAAAATATGGTCAATATACAATGAGAACTAATCTTTGTACAAAAAATAACGCCTGACGAAAAAATCACCGGTCGACTGTGCTCAGAATATGGTGTCTTATCTTATTAATCTTAACGCAGACTTGAAAAACTACGTCTAATTACTACTTTTGTTTATAAAGAATGATATTATAAATAATTGCTGTTTGTAATTTATAAATAAGATAAATACTTATACTTCAGAATCAGTCTGGTATTTTGGTGAAAATTTTACCAAACCTAAGAATTGCAATACCACTAAACTATTTATTTACGCAAATATAGCTCAATTTATGACACTTTTACCTGATTAAATGCCTTTAATTACAATTTCACAACGATTAAATAATTTTACAGTCTGGTCTGGGTTTCAATTCATATTTTCAACTTAAATAAATGTGAATTAACTATTTATTGTCTTGTATGAATCTATCCGTCGCAATGAAGATTGTTAGTGGATACGTAGCCGTTAAGCTTAGGTTTCCTAGAAAAGCGGTGCCGTTAACTACTAACGGCCGTCATTTTACGCTTGTTAATAAAGGCCGTCTTTACTTTTTAACATAATGCAAAAAAACAGCATTTTCGCTCGTCCAAGTCACGTTTTCACTCATAGTATTAATTAAATATGGGCACCGCTACACGCGGAAAACGTTGAACTAATTTTTATCACCGCTATGACGGCCGTCATGCAAATTACAGCACCGCTATTTGACGTTACGGTGGCACTGAACGTTCTCTAGGAAAGCTACTCCGATGTTATTTATAGACAACGTATGGGTGACGTCACCCAACGCTACATTACGGCCGTTAGATAACGGAACCGCTTTTCTAGGAAACCTAAGCTTTAAGGGAAAAGTGTGCTCTTTTCTTAAATACCCAACGGTCGTATTTGGGACATCCTCCACTGCGAGCCGATACATAACACAAAGACATTATATGTGAAAAGTGATAACAATAACACCGTACTTGTCGGTTTCTGATAAATTAAGTTCAAGTTGTAATGAAAATAGACAAATTAATCATGTAGATCTACTGAATAGTCAACTGAATAATTTATGGGTAATTTTAAAACACAGCTTAGCGAACATTTATTGTTTAACTGACTAGACGTTTTTCTGTACCCAACGTTTCGTGACCACTCAGAGACTCTTTATACCTAAAAGTTACCATTATGTGGTGTAAAGTACTGAAAAGTCGAAAATAATATTAACAATAACGCGTAATTCAATCCCCGCCCCGCATAGTAGCTCCGCGCATAGGAAAAAAATTCGTTACGTGATACTTGAACGCTCCCTTACGCGGTTATATAGGATTATTTTAACATTACTTGGTAATATTTGCATAAAAACATGATTACAAAACCACATTCCTAAATATATAATAACTAGCCGTTTCGCGCCCGCTTTGCTGGACGAATTAAAATAAATTTTATGTTTCATTATTTTATTTTTTTTCATATTTTTACTATTCTTCTTTTTAACTTCCCGCTAAGAAAATTGAAATATTTCGAAAATCGAGTTTTTAACAGATTTTGACGTTTAGAGGTTCTAGGAAGCCTCCCCGAATCAGTATGGATAAATTTTCATAAAAGTAAAACAGCAATAAAAAAATGAAGGAACGTTGGAATTTAATAAATAAATAGCCATAAACCATCTAGGAAAAATTTCCCATCGAATGGTGTAGTTTCATGTCGATACGATCAGTGGTTTAGGCGTGAAGGAGCCTCAAACGAAGACCATTTTTCTTTTATATATATAGATAAAAAGCTTCCATAGCAGTACCTACTATAACCTATAATGCTAAGTAAAAAATGCTTTGTCGCATTTCTATCATAACTATATAACTTGGTAAATTACCATGTGAAGGACCATGACGGCTAAATACTCTAAACCTTTTCAATTACTAAAACTAGTGTAGTGTAGTGAATATGAGTGCAAGTGCGTTATACCAGACACAAACACATAGTGCCAAAACATAGACGACTGTTTATAAACATTATCTTAGTTTAACTTATTGACTAGTATTGTAGAAAATTACGTCAACATAATATATCCAGCCTTAATAGCACTCTCTTTTGTGAACTTTCTATTTACAACTTGTATTGTATAATTTATAATATACAAACGAAAATTATTATTTAATTTATACAATTCTACTTTCTAAATATCACAAAATCACATTATATAATCTAATGTCCATAATAATGTAAAACAAAACTAAGACAAAATAATATCATTTAACTACATATATTAACATTATTAAAATATATTAATGGCGTATTAATTCATAATTGATTCGTTTAAAGCTTTCTAATACAATTTAAACACAAATTAACGTAATGTGTTAATTATCTAACTTAATCAATATGCAAAATTATAATTTATGCTTAAGTATGAAAGATAAATTCAAGTTAAAGTTTTGACAGATTTTATATGTATTTACTCTATACTCCTTTTAAAATAGTATCATACATTTATTATAATATATTCACGACTGCTATTTTAAATATGAAACCCGAGCTTAAGTGGCGTCACTACAGCAAAGGTTTTTTGAGGTTTTTTTTTTCAATTAGACTTTAGTCATAGTTATAGTAATAATAATAATAACAACCGTATAATATGGTTTTTGGCCACAGATTGAATCCGTTTCATTGATGGATTTTATTTCATAGACAAGTAGGTGATCATACTTCTATTCAACACTCGTCGATTATTGGAATTCAGACATGCCGGTTACCTCGCGATGTTTTCCTTAACCGTACAAGCGAGTATTAAATGCGCACATAGACATAAAATATATTGGTACACGGCCAGGGATCAAACATACGACCTCAGGGATGAGAGTCGACTGAAGCCACTAGGCCAACAATGCCGTAACGTTTAATTTCAAACATATGTAAATATATTAAGTAAGTCACAACGGTATATATATATTTATACTTGTTGCATATTTGTTGTGCCTACATAATTATTTATCTTTCCCGTGACATTGTACCAATATGTTTATGTAGTATGATTATATTACCCATATTATTGATATATAAGGCATTTAATCGCCATTACTTTCACTACGTTTACGTAACCTACGAAAACCTATGATTGTTCCAAGATTTGAACTGGGTTTTGATAGTATGTGTAAACTGAGCGGGACATTGTTTAAGGTTTTTGCTTAGTGTGATTATGAATAATACCTATAGATGTATAATAAATGTCATTGACGACAGACAAGTTAGCCATTCACTTTATAACAACTAATATCCGTTAAATACTTGAATTGATACGCTCACTACCAAGTTTCTCTATTTAGTTTTAATGGCAACTGCTTTATGCCTTTACATTGATAAACTAACAATTTCGTAAAGTTAAAACAATTTTGTTTAACTTTCTTTAAGAATATATAATACATTTTAATATTGCAGCGCGTACCTAAATCTTGAATGATATTTATAGTAAAAAAATTAACACACTTCTAATTTAATTCATATAAGCACTCCAAAGTGACTTGTTTATCACCGGCTAATAATTCGAAATTCAAAATACCCTTTTCTTTAAAGTAATTAATGCAAGTCTTCGCAGTCAATAAATTTGTATATTCTAAAGTTTTCAAATGTAAAAGAATTTATTAATTCAATTAAATCATATAATCACCAACCGTGAAGAGAAAGGGTAACGTCGCGTATAGTGTATCGTTAAGACACAGTTTAGAATTCCATCGAGCAGAGAGTGCAATGAGTGGAAAATGCATTCGGAAAATTGTGCTTACCGAACCGAGGAGAAATGGGGTGTTCAGAGAAACAACGATCGTATGGATTGATACACACGAACGCATCAATTTTATATATCTAGATTAGAATTTTACCCAGGACTCACTTTGTCCTAATTTCTTTATATGAAAAGTCAACCAATCTTTTAAGGAACCGCAATAATGCTTACCTTATTTAAGGCAAATTAATTTTATATGAAATTCGCAGTATTGCGCATTAGCTTAATATTAATATATAAACTTACGTTCATAGGATCTTGTGCATCCATTGTATCGGTCATCTCATTTTGCCTGAAATTTAAATAATAGAATTCAAAAAATTAACCCTTGTCATAAAATGAATTTTACGAAAAAAAATTACGAGGAATATATGTGATAACTAACTTGTAAATGAAAATTAAATAAATAGCATTCCTCTAACCAAATAAAGGAACTTTAACGCATCAATAACAAAATAATTAAAAGATAATATATTTTAAAATCCTAAATATAACTACCTAATATGTACTTGATCATTCATTTTTTGTTTCACATCGGGCACTGGTTTTGGACTGAATTTAACAGTTACAGGAAGTACTGAAGCAGACTCATTTTCTTCCACACTGAAATACGTATAAAAAATGGTATTAGGGCAAATATCTACTATTCACATATACCAATAACTTGTTAATATACTTACGGGTTCTGATGTCTAATCTCTGAAGAGCACAGATTACGGAGATAATCATCACATTCTCGTTGTTTTTGTATTTGATACTCTTTCAACAGTTCACGTCTAAAATCTCCATCAACTGGTGCAGCAATTTGGGTTTGTTGCATTCGTTCAGTTTGGGTCAAACGCTCTGGCGGTGGGGCAGTTGTCGAAATAGACGTAGATACAGAATAATCCTGACCTCTATGCTCAGGCGTTGTAGCTGTCGATGCACCAATGCTACTTTCATTTGTTTTTGACTCTCCAATTGGCTTCGATTGTTCATCAATTGGTTTCAAAGACTCATTGAGGCCATTGTAAATACTTTCATTATTTTTGTTATCAAAAAGCCGATCCACTGATGTGTTCATTAATTTGTTTCCTTTTATGCCAGTGAGATGAAAACCAGCAAAATATGATGAAGATGGGCCATAGTCTATAGCAGACAAAGCCATGAGAGCAGGATGTCGTGGAGCACCATCCGGCAATGGTCTCAAAGATCTTGTCATTGCATCAGCAGCTGATCTAGGTCGCCTGAATGGCATTGCTAAGTGGGGAAAAGTGCGAGGTTTGATTGGGGTAACTAGCATGTGTTCAGTCCAGGATGTGTGCAAAGATGGGCGCTCTAACTTTTCAACATCAACATCTAACATCCTTTGTTCAAAAGGGACACTAAATGTCTCAGCCGGTATTGATTGAAGCCAGGATAAGAGACTGAGATCTGATTCATCAAAACCTGAACCATCTAACAGTCGCGAAAATTGAACATCATTAGACTGAGCTTCCTTTGAACCCGTAGCTTTAGCTTGACAATAGTTAACGCATGACTCATATAAAATGCCTTTGATTAGCAACTGCATTAATCTATCATTCTTGGCAGATTTTACTACTATGCCACTTGACTTTTTATCACAGGGTAGGAAATTTTCAACAAGTGGATACACTTCTCTGAAGCATTGAACTCTAGCATTGCTTGGATTCCATTTTTTAAATTGTGCATGGTCTGTAATACTGGGTAGAGTCAACAATAGACATAAATTTGAGTACTCTTCTTTGGAAGGTGCAATTTTCTCTAAATCACTTAAAACCTTCACTACTTCATCTACAATATTTTCTACGTTGTTGTAAGCTTTAATTTCAGATCTTATACAAAGGAGCTCTATGTATTTGTGACGCAGAATGGCGTAATTGAATTTATCTAGTTCAAATGCTTTTAAAGTACTGAGAGGCTGTATAAATTCGAGTACATCATCCCATTGCCCATCTAAAATAAGTTGTCGTAAAAACAGTACATCATCTGCATAGTTGCCATTAATAACACCAGTTTCTCTTTCTAAGGATAATTGTGTAATATGTAAGTCTCTATTATGAAGAAATTCCAAAGCCAAGCGAACTACATCATCCTCTCTTAGGTTGAGATGTGTTGATGGCATTCTGATATTGTTATATGGAGCTAAAAGTATGGAATAAATTTAATTAGATGTCATAAAGGTACTTTCAAATCATATATTTCAATGTTTTATTTTTCTTGATTTAAATTCCTACTTAAATTAAAAAAAAACTACATATAGAATAATTATAATATCAATAAATAATGAATTTATAAACAATTTATTTATTTTGGATATTAAAATAATTAGTATTCGGCAAAATAGAGTTTCCATAAATCACTTATGCTTTGAAACAATAAATTATAACTACATATGGTACAAAATAATTCATAATTTTGGTACATCTTTAGACCACTTGAACATAAAAAGAGAAATTTAAGAGTAGTCACTATGCGCATTTAGAGAGTAAAATCACGTTTAATTAGTCTAAACATGCATCTATTATTCTATAAACTTTAGTACTACTGACACAAATTAGTATCATAAAAACAGTCTAATATTGAAATACCATAACTCGCAAGTGACTTCAAGCTATTTTTGGTTTTATTTGAAACTATGCAAAACAATATTCATTGAAAAATTATATATTTCTTTAAAGTTAAATAAAATTAAAGTAAACATGTTAAATGATTGTAAATACCTGATGGCTGATGCAAATTTCGTTGATATTCTTTTACTAATAGAACAATTTATATTATTCTCCACAAACTTGAAACGGGTAATCAGAAAATTATCAGCATTTTCTTCATTTTATCACAAATAAACCTCGTAATGGTAAAAAAACCACTATGAAACACTTATTCAACCGGACAAACAATAAACGAACGAACCAAGATCACAGATGGCAGATATAGCAAGTAGGTACGTATCTGTGGAAACTGAAAGTACACAGCACATTTGTCATAGATTATAAAGATTGACTTGAAGAAAAAAATCTAAAACTTAAACAGAAACTGGGCTAGTTATTTGGCTCTGAATGTATTATGTATATAACATTCAGAGCCAAATAACTTTATTATTATGACTTATATATATGTAATGAGACACAATTCACACTCATGTGCTTTATCACTTGTTATCACATATCAAATTAAAAAAGCTTGTTGCTCAAAGAAACAATAATCTCTAATCAATAAAGTCGAAATTATTTTTAACTATTATTACTAAAATATAGGTTAAGAGTGTACATAATCTAAAATAGTTGTTATTTACACTTATTAAAACCTACTAGACTTTTCTTTAAACCAATAAATGGACGCTCACATTTTTTTCACCGGTCTCATATATTATATCTCATATCACTCTTCATAATATACCATTTATTATGAAGAGTGTAAAATATTAAGCCTATTTCTGCTTGTTATCTATGGTAGTTCGTAAACTGAGATTGTATTTCAATATAATCCTAATTTTAATGGTTGGTATGTACAGTTCACATATGACTTAGTTATTATTGGTACAATTACTAAAAATTACGGAACCCTATATTATATTTTAGTCTTTGAAGTTTGAACTACGGTAAATGTGATCTGTGGCCGGCGGCGGCGAAAGGAAATTTCACATTTCATTTTTACGTTTTTATTAAATTACTATATTTTTCATCATGGAAGAAGAAGGAGATAATTTACTAATGGAAGACAATTATTACCAATTATTAAATGTGTCAAAAACGGTAACTAAATTGAAAGAATATTTAAATTTATTTCATGTTGTTGCAACATTATTATATAACCCTTAATTATTTTGATTTTATATTTTGTACAATTACCTTTTATACATTGCCTACAACCTTTTTCCTAATCTCTAATTAAACTCCCTGAAATGTACAATGCTAGACAAGATTCTCACTGTGATATTTTGTAGGTTAAGTTTTTATGGTGTTCTCATAGGAATCTTGTAAAATAGATAATAAAAGAATAATCTTTGTTATCAAATAACGTTTGTCAAATACATTTATGATATGTATTGCTCGTTAAAATTTTAGAACTAACAAGATTACACAAGCAATGTTACTAATAAAATCCAGTAGCCTAAATTTTACTATGACTTAACTGATTAGTAAGACTTCTATGGAAACCAAATTATTTTTAACCATTTGAGACTACTCATTACTATATGCTATTTTTATTTATATGCTATATACACTCTAAAAACATTCATAAACAGGCAACTCCAGAAGAAATTAATAGTGCTTATAGAAGATTCTCACGCATGTTTCACCCAGATAAACATAGTACTGATCCTAATAAACAGAAATGGGCAGAACAAATATTTAATAAAATCAAGGAAGCATATGAAGTTCTCTCTGATTCTCACAAAAGGGCTATATATGACACTTTAGGTGAGATATATTTATTTAATTATATATTTTTTTATATGTAAAAGTCATGGAAGTTTTCATATATAAATAACTTAATGAAACACTTTTATATGTATACTAATTGAAAACTATATATTCCATTCTATTCTAATATTGGTCATTTTCTAAAGAACTTGGTATATAATGGATAAGAGTGCATATGATGTGTCTATTCTATTAGCTGCTTTCACAATAACTTACTTTTTATCAACATTATTTTATTTCTATCCTTGAAGTTCCTTTGTATTTCTACATTCTAAAATTAAACAATATGAAATCTTTTGTGCTAGGTAAAAGAGGTCTGGAAGTGGATGGGTGGGAAGTTATTTTCCGCACACGAACACCAAAAGAAATAAGAGAAGAATATGAAAGGTAAATTATTTTCAGATATTCATATTCAGGTCCACATTACACATTCAAAATTTATTGTAAGATGCTTTTTTCAGCCAGGCAACTAAGTAATGTATATCATATATTTTCATCACAATAACATTCAAAACCTTCAAGCTTGATGCAGATGCTTAATGTATAGATTTCTCTTTGACAATGGCTTTACAAATAGCTAGTTTATATTCAATGCTACTTTCCTCTAAAAGAAAAACATTTGGAACAGACATAGTGATGTGGCAATCCCATGTCTATAAAGGTGTAATGGCTTGTGGTTGCATACACAATATAAATTTAAATAGCAAGCGCTATTATTATTTTATTCCAATAAAAATATTTAAATACCTGTCTATATTTGCAATTTTCCATATTAGATTAAAACGGGAGAGAGAAGAAAGACGACTTCAACAAAGTGCAAATCCTAGAGGCACAATAACAGTCTCAGTAAATGCTACTGATATGTTCACAAAATATTATGATGAGTATGAAATTTTGTAAGTTTGTTTTCTTTTATTTATAGAATAAGTTATAATATATTAATATTATGGTTTTTATATGAATTATAAGTCTAATTCAAATTCCTCAGTTCTTTTCTAGTTTTGCCTCTTAACATTTTATATGTTTACAGAGAAGACACCGTAGGCATTCCAAGTATTGAGGTGTCAGGTATGACAATACAACAATCAATAGATGCACCAGTGACACTAAGAAATACAGTAACTCTATCTGGGAATATATCAACACAAAATGGAATAGGTGAAACATGTTTTTCTAAATTTATGCAAATTTTTTCTGTTACTAATGTAGATTTTGGGTAGCCAGAGGGTAGATTTTGGTATGAAAAAGTCTCAAATCACTTGCAAAGGCATTACTAAAAGCTAGCTTGCAATAGAAAATAACTAATCATCTTGTAAAAGTGGTATTTAATTTAATTAACTAGTTTACATTGGATCCTTATTCAGTCCAAACTTATTTAATTATGATGCAACAATATCATTATAAAATATTTTTGATTATTTTAAGGTTAGCCTGATAGGTATTAGGATTGATCATCAACATGTTTCAGATTATTTTTACCAATTTTTAAAACATAGGACAAGCTATGTTGCTCCTACTATCCTATACATCTTTCATAAGAAACTAAAGTCACTTAATGATTAAAATTTTATTTTTATTCCATTCAATCCTAACAGGCGCATAATACAATAAAACTATCATATTTATGAAACAAAAACTAAATGATCTAGTTGTTTAGAGCAATGTTTTTTTTTTGTTTATTAATCATATAAATTATAACCTTAAAAATATCTGTAATTATCAATAAGTGCAAAATGTATAATTACACATATGCATAAGCATATAACAAAATTTAATTTAATTTTTCTGTGAAATTAGAATAAGAATATAATGTTATATTTATGGAATACAGATTTGGATTTTACGATCTTTAACAATTTTTAGGAACTGGTTCTGTTAACATGTCAAACCGACATTTGAGTTCCGAAAGAGGTTGGACAGAGTTGGAATGTGGTATAGGAAATGGACCAGTTTTTGGATTCAAAATGTTCCGAACAATATCCAGACTTATGTTTGTCAATTGTGGTACTGGATTGCAATTTACACCTCGGGGGATTGTACCTAGTCTTGTTACAAGTAAGCTCATTTGTATTACATTTAATTAAAAACTTCTAAAAGCTTGATGTGCAAAATGATGTATTTCTATTTATTGTTGCATATACGGTAGAATTTTTGGCATTGTTTTAACATTTAAAACAATAATCACTTGTAACTTAGGATAATAACTTAAACAAATATTTTAAAGCACATGTTAATACATATTCTAAATAAATAAAAAATTATTTTCAGCTATGGCTTTACAATTAGATGCACATTCTGTAGGCTACCTCACCTATAGAGCAGGAAACCAAGGTGGTGCAATGACCTCCACATATGTGAGGGACAGTGAGAAGTACCACTTAAATGCAGCTGTACAAATAGGGAATCCACATTCGTTCATATCTTTCAACTTCATGAGAAAACTGCCGCAGCATGATATGAAGTTGAGATTAGCATTGAAGTAAGTCATTTTAATTAAGGGATTTATGTATTTCTTTGTATTATGCTGGCGAACTTTGCTTAAGATTTGCATTTAAATAGTAATAAGTTACTATATCTTATAATAGCTTAATCAAACCTTTAGAGTTATTCTCTGAATTTCTCTCATTGATACTATGACTATATTTATATATTAAAGACACCAAGAATAATCTCTATTGAATATGTGTTCATGATTCCATTGAATAATGTCTCAGGCAAATAATGTTTTATCTATTGAATAGTATATTATGTATTTAAAGTTTTTTATTAATATATCTGTAATAAATTTGATGCAGAGCTCATTTATATTAGGCACTATCTGACATATATTAGGATAAAATAGACTGAAGATAGACATTGTTTTTTTTTAATACTTTATAAATATTTAATTAACTCTTGTGTGATATGTTTATTTTTTGCGAATTAGCATTGCTTATAAATTTGGATATTATTAAGTGGCATTGCGAGGTCTAATAAATCATTTGCTGAGCTACATTTCACATAAAAAAGCGATTTACAATATTATATATAGTAAGACCACAATTTTTAATGAATTGTAAATTTCAAATGTATGCTGTATAAGATGTTATCTTGTAATTTTAAAAAAATCCATAAATTAACAATATTAATTAAGCCTCATTTATACCTTGAAACATTTACAAAATGTACACCCACTTATAATAAATATTTTTTTTTCAATCTCTTAGCATGTTTCTCCCTATCTTCTCCACCAACTTCCTTAAGCTCGTCAGCCCACCGTGCAAGAGGGCGACCACGCTTGCTTTTACCTGGTAGTCCTTCCCACTTTGTTACCCTCTTTGTCTATCTGCCATTAATCATTCGAGCGGTATGGCGCGCCCATTTCCACTTAAGTTTTTTGCAATGGGATAGTGCATCAATTTGTTTTGTTCCTTATTTCTGATCTTGTCCTTTAGTTTTTAATTGAGTACACTACATTCCATTCCTCGTTGACAAGTTGTTATTTAAATTTGTAAAAGATATTTCCTTACACAAGTAGATGAATTGTTCTACATATTCTTTGGGGTATCCATTAATTTGGACAGGATCTTGTAGGTGATTTGACATTATTTTTGTTTAATTCCCATCCCATTTGCTTTGCTCTATTTATAGTAATGTTTCTGAGAATAAAACTATGTCAGCAAATCTTAAGTTGTTTAAGTAATTATCATCAATAATTATAACTATGTGTCCAATTAAGCTTTTGCATTATGCTTTGAAGTACTGTTATAAAGTTGCTGCATGAGATGATATCCTGTAATTTTAAATAAAAAATCTATAAATTATAAACTGTAAAATATACAAACTTTCGCGACTACAGCTTAAAATTAAGTTTATGTTGAACTATAGACTACTTTTAATATTTAAGCATGTTATGTTTAATATGAAAAAATTGCTTCACGAATCTATACGATAAGAAATCCTTCAAATAATATTAAAATAGCTGGCGTGTGCATATACCATTAGTTCATTCAATTATGCTCAATCTATTAAATTTTGTCCCTTTGAATGTCATGCCAATAAACGTGACCAACCATTACGTAACTAAACAAGGCTTATATGGCAAAAAAACTACTGTTTCTTTCAGGGTCGGTACCTTTGGGGCAATTGCGGAGTATGGCGCAGAAAAGAAAGTGTCACAAAATAGCAGTGTGTCAGCCGCTGTAATGCTAGGTGTACCTAGTGGAGTCATGCTGAAACTTAAGTAATTGTCTTTATTATTAGCTGAACTTAGCAGGATATTTTTTATACAATACTAGCTGACCGGGCAAACGTCGTTTTGCCATATATATCATTTACTAGTGGACCCCACAGACGTTGTCCTGCATGATATTTAAAGCGATTAGGATATTAAGCAAAGTATGAAAGTACCGACTGCAGTGCCATCTGCCGGGCTGATTTGTGAATCTAAACCATTCCCAGATCCCCTTGAACACACACAAAAAATTTCATCAAAATCGGTCCAGTCGTTTGAGAGAAGTTCAGTCACATACACACGCACACAAGAAATATATATATTAAGATAATAAAAAAATAGGGGTTGATCGTAGAGGGGTGAAAGTTAGGGGTTTGTATGTATTTTTTAATGCTGTATCATAAAAAAATAAAAACAAAAAAAATATCTAAAAATAAAAAAAAATATTTAGGGGTGGACTACCCTTAACATTTAGGGGGATGAAAAATAGATGTTGTACGATTCTCAGACATACCCAATATGCACACAAAATTTCATGAGAATCGGTCGAGCCGTTTTGGAGGAGTATGGCAACGAAAACTGTGACACGAGAATTTTATATATTAGATATGGATAGCTGCGAGTTTTATTTGTATAAAAATATTATGAATGTTAGTAGAGTCTAGTAAGAGAACTAGTAAGAAGTAATACAATAATATATTCATAAATATTACCATATACTTTTTATATATATCAAAATACGAACGATTTTTTATTTTGCCTAAACTCATAGAAAGGCAAGCTGCTTCATGTTTTTTTTTTTTTAATATGTTTGGAGAATTCACACCAATTGACTTAGCTTAGCTGGTGAAGCTTGTGTTATGGGTATTAGGCAACGGATATACATACATATTATAGATAGATAGACATATAAACACCCAAGACCTAAGCACAACACCGAATGCTCATCACATCGATGTTTGTCTCAGCCGGGGATCGAACCCGGGACTCATGGATTCGCAGTCAGGGGTACTAACCACTAAACCAATGAGCCGTCGAGACCAATATGCCGTCAATATGTTCTATAAACACTTGTTTTAAATTTTCAGGTGGTCATGCTCTACACAGACTATAGTAGTACCAATACATCTCTGCGAGGAAGTAGTTCCTGCGCCGGTTTTCTACGCGACTGTAGTCCCAATGGTATCGTGGTTGATAATCAAGAGATTGGTGTTAGACCCAATTGCAAGGGAACGGCAGGAGAGAGAGAGACAACGATCTATGGAGGCTAATTTTGAAAGGTATAAAAGTTTTACGTACTGAAGATAACATTTAGCAGTGTTAGGCAGTGTAATGCATTCAAATATTGGCTATGCAAAGATGTATTTTTCTATGTGCGCATTTAACACTCGCCTGTAAGATTAAGGAAAACATCGTGAGGAAACTGGTATTACTGATCCAAAAATCAGCCCCACCCACCGTGTGTCAGAAACAGAAGGCTGTGCCTGTACTTGCCTATTAAAGAAAATTATGTGGAAACGTGTCCAGAGATAGAGACCAAGAGCTGGAGCTGGAGTGTTTGCGTGTTGTTCCCACGAGCATGTAAGTGCGTGCTCCTATTTCACCATGCCTCCTGCTGATAGAGGACAACTCTTTGTTTTTAATTTATGTTATTATTAATTACTTAAGATGTCATGTGGAACATGGTTTGATGGTTGCAGCTCCTTACAAACGTTGTGTAAAAAAAAAATGGCGATTAAAGAGTGGCGGAGAGTTTATTGCCAGTTCTTCTCTTCCGTTCTACGCCCTTGATTTGAGAACTGGCACTAAATGTAAAATTAGAAGCATTAATATTATGTATTTCTTTACTGACAAGTCATAAGTGTACAATGTGTTACCGACATGATTAAATGATTTTTGAATTGGATTTGGAAGTGACCTCCAGGTCGCCACTGGTTAAGGTTAAAATCCACAGTCGATACTTAGACTTAGTAAGCTGTGTCAAATCGTACTTAGCGTACTTAGCGATAAGGGTTATAGTCATAAACTAGTCTTAGCGCTAAGTTTGACTCCCTTATGTCAAAAACGTATTGTAGTGGATTTTGACATACCGGAGTCATAGTTTGCGTTGAGTCTCGTTTATGAACTTACCCTTATAATAATAAGCCTTTTTTCATCCACATTTTATTGACTTACATTTAACAAAAATAGATTCACTCCCTCCCTGTCCAGGGGAAGGCCTCCACCAACTTTTTCCACCCTATTTTATTTTGTCATTCAATTTTCCCAGCTACCTTTTCGATCCCGTCGGATTATCGCTCTATTGGTCTGCCCTTGTCTCTTTTTCATTTTGGACTAGTCCATTCGGTTACTGTTTTAGACGATCTGTCATCTATATATCGGGCTACGTGCCATGCCCATCTCCATTTAAGTTGTAGAGCATGTTAAACTTTGAACCCTTAGTTTGTAAACTCTGATTTTTCATTCCGTAGAATTCTGACATTTCATAAGTGTTGCTACGTAAAAAGTTCTCCACCGAAAAGGGACAAATATGCCCCATTTGTGGACAATCAAAAATAAAATGCTACGTATTTTTTTTTATGTTTTACCTACAAAAAGGTAAATCTAAATATTTACTTACTCAAGTGACCTAATTTTATTCTTTAGCTTTACTTAATTTTATTCTTTAGCTGGCATCACTGCCTACTAATTTGGTTTAGTACACCTTTTTAATAAAATTAAATGTTTGCTGTAATGTTACCTTTACTTGTGCGTTTTTTTACTGTTTGTGATGAAAAGGGACGCAATTATCACTTGCCGTAAAACCACTTTTAACGTGGAGCACCGCACTTATTAAATTCACTAACAAATAAAATTTATGTATGGACACCAGATGTTCAGACTTGTATTGAAATTGAAAAATGTGCCCGGCCAAAAAGGTTTGTAATCTCTGACATGTCAAAAAATGATAGCTGTCAGAATACTAAGAGTATAGTAATAATATCTGTAAGTATATTGTGTATGAAAAATAATTTTCTTTTTTCTTTGTACTACGGTTTCTTTTATTTTTTTACTTATAAACCCAATTTAATAAAAATGGCTGCATATTATTTTATGTTAATAATTTTCGCCGCCTCAATGAATTTATAAGCGTAGTGTATTAAAACATTCGTAGGATAAAAGTATGTTCATATTTATAAATAGTATCTATTGACAAACCAAAACATGAAGATATAGTATATATGTTTTTTTTTTTTTTTTTCAGGTTACAAGAAATGCAGAGGCAAGCTCGGGCGACCGTAGAACTGATGCGCGAGACATACTCAAGGAACCGAAGTGATGAAGAGAAAAAGAAGGGTTTAGTTGTTATCAAGGCTTTGTATGGAAAACTTCCTTCAGGTAAAATTTGCCAGTCTGGTGAAATTTGTCTAAGTTTTTTTTATTTTTGCCCTGGTTTCAAACCCGAGACCTCATAGTCTGCAGTCATGTTACACTAAACCATTTATGTGCTCATCTGAGGCATTTCCGCAAATAGACAACTCGTACTTATGACATTGAAATAAAAAAAAAAAAAATTTTGGCCCTGGATTCCAACCCGAACATTATAATCCGAATATGATAATCTGCAGTCATACTAGCCACGAAAGCGAACGACTATGGTATTGAATTTTTATTGGCCCGAATCGAACCTTGATGCAGTCAGATGGCCACTATAGCAATAAAACTGAATTCAGGGGCAACAAGTCACGACACGGCCGCTGAAGAAATTGGCGATGGTGCTCCAGAATCACCAAACTCGTATGACGTCATCGATGTAACAATACCCCTGCAATGTCTTGTAAGGGATTCCCGGCTAGAGTTACTCGATGCAAGCAAGGTGGGTTGCTATATTTTATTTATTACGGGTCTTTTGTTGAGATTTAGAATCGAAACATGGTCCATATTCTAATTAGTATCTCAAGTCACAATCTCGTCTTGAGCGCTGTCAAAATACAGATAACAATGAATGATGTAATGTTTAACACATTGCACAATAAAACTATATTTACTATACTATGTTAAAATGAAAATTTGTTTTTTTTTAACTTCTTTTGAATTTTAAATTATATCTTTATCTGGCTGCACAGATTAGTGAAACATTTCCTCTGTAATCATACCAAAAATAGGAACTAAAAATATCGATTATTATCTATTCTTTTGATTAGAACTGAATTTGACTATCTTATAATAACGGTTGATCCTTAGCGTTAGTATGTATTAGGCTGTCTAACGCTCTTTAGTAATCGACTTCTACCAATGAAGTTTCAAACGCGAAACGATAGAATAAATCTCTATGAATAAAAGAGGACGAAAAATAATTGCTTTAGGTCAAATTATCACTAAAGATTCAAATTTTTATACATTTACTAACAATCTTAAACAACATTTTCTCTACCTGTCTTATGCTGGAACGAAAAGTATTCTTCTTGTGCAACAGTAGTTTTACTATGCGATTGTAAGGTTTATGTAGAAATTATTACGACACAACACAAGGAATCCTAGGGTAGAGTTTCTCTTTTAACCAAACAGTTTTTACTATTTTTTTTTTTTAAAGACAATTCCCACCAAATGACCTAGTCCCATGCTAAGCTGGTGAAGCTTGTGTTATGGGTACTAGGCAACGGATATACATACATATTATACTATGTGTAATGAAAGTTTTTCTTTATTTCTGCTTGTGAACTAATCGAGCGTATACTGATACAGATGTTACGTACGAAACTTTAATAACGTATTCCAACGTCATTTATATAATATATATATATTTTTATTGTTTTTTTTTTAAGTCGGAATTAGCTGGATTCTATGACCCATGTGCGGGAGACGAAAAACATTTGACTGTCCGCTATATGTTCCATAACTATGTACATGTGTGTACTGTCCCCGAAAAAGAAGCCCTAATTCTTCCCAGGAATGGTGAGTACACAAACAGTACTTTTATTAAAGGAAAATATTTCAAAAGAAATATTAATTGCGTGTTTTACTGATTTTTACTTATTGATGATTTATGCATGCCTATTTAAATCTTAGAAACTACTGAACCGATTTTCATGAAATTTGGACTGTTACCTAAATTGGATGACAAGTGATTTGAATCGTTAATATGACCTATTACTTTCCGATAAATATGTGGGCAAATATGCAAGCATTTTACAATATTTACCTCACGTGCTTGTAATCCGAAAGCACATGCAAAGTCAACAAACTGATAACCCTTTTGAAGTTGGTTAATAACTTTTTTTATAAATTAACTTTTTTTAAGGTCTGGGTCTCACACATATATATTTGTTTCGAGATCATTTGGTTTTTCTAATAGCCAAGTAGGTGATCTGTCTTCTCTGTCTGACATACGCCTTCGACTGTTTGGGTCTAAAGAACGACTGTTAAATGTTATACTTTGCCAATTCACTACTATTTATATGTGTGCTCAAGTCTCAAGACCACACTTTAAAAATGTGTTTTGACTAAATATCGTGAAACTTTTTTTCAGCCCATCGAATAAAAAACAGATCTTGATTAACACGCCGCGCCAACAGCTATAAGCTGTCTTCGGCGCATGGTTGTGCGTAAATTTAATTGAAATGCCATTGACACCACAAACTTAGTATTGGGTTTGTGCCGATTTAACAAATGTTATATAAAGTTGCCTATTATATATAAAAATCATTTACCGTTTTGTTTGAAAACTCTTACTTCGGTAGAGTCTATGAGCGTCGAAGGCGTTAAGAGCTGTTATTGCAAAAACTTAGTATGAAAAAGTTTTAACAGTATTTCGTCTCTTTCTGTCATAGTGTGATCACTCTGTCGTAAAAAGAGACGGAGTGCTGTTTTTGTAATTAGAAATTTATGAAGGGGGTTATTTATTTACTACACGCTATTGCTTAATAGTTTCGATTCCTTTACAATTAGTGTTTTGTGTATTAAAATATCCAGACAATTATGCCTTTATTTTTCCTAAATTTAACATTCCAAAAATTATTTAGTACCAATTTGCAATTTCAAACAACAAATTTATATATAATATTAATTAGAACTTTATAAAGTTATTATTCTGTGTTTTTCTATGTGTAGCCAGAAAATATATATAACACTAGTCTTCATACTTTAATGTTTGCATAGCATTTATAATATGTTGGTTCCTATGTCACTCTTCATATAGAATGATTTTACTTATAAACCCGGTGTAAATTTAATGTTGCTGTTTAGGTATTTATTAAGGCATTTCTTACTATGGCACAAATTGTTAATGTTATTTAAGAATAATTATCTGGACTTTTAAACTTTCTGTCTTCTGAGCACATGGCAAATGTGTTCAATTTTGTTGCCTGGTAAAAAGGCTATTAGTTTAAAACCCTGGATTATGGTGTATTGGGTTCGATTACCAGTGAAATAATCACTGTTTTGCGTGGGAATGATTTAAATCAATCAAGGAAGCAGATCCAGAAATTATCTTAGCATATCCAATATATGGTATATGATTGCTACTTGTCATAACGAAACCCCTTGTACGAAATAATACATGCTTACTACTACTTAATCATTTTGACATTAAATCTTATGACAAAAATGCTGACAAATGATTATTTCGTAAAAAAACATATAAAATTTTCAAAAATTTCAAAAATTTATTCGTTGTCATGTGTGTGGCTTATGGCAATAAGTCACAAAGTTTATAAATAAATATATTTTTAAATACGCTCAGAATTCTATATTTAATAGATTTATTAACGACATTTAGTGAAATGGTCGTGTGCATCTTGAATTACTCTAGTTAATTTGTATAGTTGTTTTTCTTTAATAAAGTTAAAACATATATTCTTTGTTGTTTTATTTACTAACTGCCAACACTACGTAAAGAAACTGCAACCACGGTACAATGCATTAATAACGAAAGGTCACCAGGATATGATGGAATACTCTCTATTGAGTTTGTAAGAATATTAAATATTTAAGGAATCAATTTATAGTAGTAGCATTTTAACGCAATATTATAGTGTGATTTGTAAGGAATTTTTTAATGTTGATTATAGCGACATCTGTTTTTGTTCTTTAGAACTATAATTGTAAAAGTTTTCTGTGAAGCGCTGTCATAACACACTAATGAAACAGGTGGCACTGAAATAGATTTTTTTGTTTTGATCTGTCTTTATTGCATTATAAAGGTAATTAATACAAAAAATAATTGTTTAATTAAGAAACTTCAATAATAGGTTTTACGAGGATATCACTAGGAAATTGTTAACGAAACACTGTAGGTAATTTTTTAAAACATACTGTATATTTATAAAAGATTTTTCTATATTAAATTTGTGAGATCCTTGTGCTTATTGCTTGCAGCACAAAGGTTGTGTTATATCCAGCCGATTTCGATTATCCTTAACAAGCAAATAACAAATCAATGCGAGTTCTACAGTCTACGGCTACAGACAGAACAAAATCAAAATATAATTTATTAATGTAGGTTAATGTACACACGTCAGGAGAAAAATTCTAAATTTACTGCAAGTTCTCAAATCAAGGGCGTAGAACGGACGAGAAGAACTGTCAATCAAAAATCTTCGTCCCTCTTAAATCGCCAAGGTTTTTTGCAAAATCCTCCTGCAACCATTACATCATGCTTTTCATTACAGGTTCAAACAGGTAATCGTTGTAATTAAATAAAACGAAATCATGACACTGATAGAGAAATTGAAATCACTGGGTGTAAGCAAGGGAAAAACCTATTTAGTTATTCAACTTACTCTAAAAACCCTACATTAATACTACCTGACACATAAATAGTTTATAAATATATAAATAGATACGGTATATCTGCACCTACAGACGGGACGGAACGGCGATTCTCCTTCTAGTAAGGGCTAGAGCAGAATCGGCGCTTTAAGAGGATGCGGGTAAGGAAAAAGATAGATCTCTTATAAAATCGAGTGATTACATTATCTATATTTACGTGTATATTAATGTTCATGGTAACTGTGTCACGCACCTTCAGCTATTAGTTTTCGGGTCGTACGTGGATTGCGTCAGCAGTTGGTCAAAACCGCGGATGTGCTCCACATTAACTTGTTCATGGACAACGTTTTTGAAGTGAAACTTTAGGCGCGCATGAGGGTAAATTTTTTAAAAAAACTTCGCGATACCGAATGAGAGAGAGTGAGAAGGGTGAATTACCTTATAGAAATTCTATTTTTAAAATTAAAATTTCGATTAAGCAAGTATTTAATATTTTATGCAGAATAATTTAATGAAATCTCAAATGACGTACATTGTAAAATAAAACTACTACTACCACTTATTTAAATATAATCAGAAAGTAATCCGTTAATTCAAGTAAAACTAAACTAAAAAAAAGATACTTCTTACCACGTACCCCCATTTATGGAATCATCTGCAATTCCAGATATTTGGGGTGGGTAGTATGACATAAAACAAGTGTAAGAAGCACTAGTCTTTATTAAACGTATGTTTCAGCAATTGAGAGCCTAGCGACATTCAAGGTCCATTAATTACGAGGGATTGAAAAACCTGGTGTGTATAATAGTCTTAAGTAAAAGTATGACATAAAAACCGTAATATGAAACTGGGTATGGACCATGGTCCATCCCAGTGCTTGTTTTTAAACATATCTGTAAACTATTTAAATTACTGAGTAGTAATCAAATTTGTGTATAGTTCTACTATTTACATTTATTAGAGATCATCCTTAAGCGATATCGAACACAAAATGATAAATTAGTATTTTTATCAAAGTGTATCGATCTAGGCGTGGCATATTTATACAGACATCAAGAGAGAACTATGCGGAAACAGAACAGGTCTTGTGCTTGTGAGGAATTAAATATATAAGCAGTCCCAACACAATGCAGACGTTTTCTAGGTATTTTGCAAAATAATACAAAATTTTTCCTGTTTGAATTGAAACTTTTTACTTTAAAAGTATTTGTATAGTGATGTAGTCCACTGTATAGGTGATTCCATAAACAGACCGCCGGATTACCGTGATTGCAGATTCGGGAGCAGATTATACTTAAATTTGTAATTTTTTCCGACTTAGGATGTAAGTACAGAATGCTCAAACCTCCCGTTGCAATTTGTATGGCGTACCAATAAAATAAGTAAAACGGACGACGACGGAAAGGTATATAAAATTGTGAAGAGAATTGTACATATTTTAGATAAACCTGACTTACCACTATTAGTATAAGATCCCGCTATACAACGACCTTCACCGAGATGCTTATTTAATGAAACTTATTTTATATTTAATTTAATATGTCAATAAATATAATCCATATGGGTTGCCTAGCAAATTTCAGTCCAGAGTATGTTTAATTAATATTAAAAAAAAAAAAAAATTTATAATTTGCATGTAGTAAATGTTTTGAACTTTTTTCAATCAATATTTTTAATCAGTGTAGTATTATATATGTATCACTATAACCTTCTTTTATACTAAAGATGTATATATACTTTAGTGTCACATAAAAAATATACACATAAATAATTAATTGATTAAAAACAACCTAACGTTTGCATATTCTATGGGCTTCATACGTTCGATTGGTATAGAATTTATCTAATAATCATACCGGTGAAATGTTTAAAAAAATATTTTTTTTTTAATTAATTAAACATACTCTGGACTGAAATTTGCTAGGCAACCCATATGGATTATATTTATTGACATATTAAATTATATATAAAATAAGTTTCATTAAATAAGCATCTCGGTGAAGGTCGTTGTATAGCGGGATCTTAGACCATATACCGTGTATCCTATTTTGAACGATATACTCGTAAAAGCTTGATTAATTCGTTGTATTAAACGGTATGTATCATCGATACATAACATTATTCTAAATTATTCATCTTAGAAAATAATAAATTCTTACATCTAATGGAAGAAATATGTAAACATGATGCCTCTTTACTAATAAATTTGTGGAGGAAGTCCATACTTGTTGTGTTTGTTCCGTCAACCTAAAGAGAGGATCCTCGACCAGTCCAACCACTGACCTGCTGGCCCGAAGACCCCCGGGGCTGAGGCCAAGAAGTTCTATATATCCTTAGGCCCGAATAACTTCGTTAGTGCGTTTCAGGGTATGACGTCATCCCAGTGATTTGTAAAGGCAGATTGTAGATGTCGCTACACTCTCTAAAGTTACCATTATGTGGTGTATAATACTGGAAAGTCGATAAATAAAAAACAATAACAGGGCGGCGACACGATGCGGCTAAGGTGCGGTGCCGCAACGTCATCCTGTAATGTAACCCAACGCGTAGCGCCGCCGCGCACCGCACGCGCGCGGGATTTGTGACCTGCGAGACGAGGCGGGGAGGGGAAAATATATTGCCGCACCGCAAAGCCCGTGTGTCACCCTATAGCTCCAAGTAGCGGCGCCGCACCGCACAGCTTCCGCATCGTATGGCCGCGCTCTAACGCGTAATTCAATCCCCGCCCCGCATCGTAACATTTTACAAAAGGACCCGTTTCGAAAATGTATTCTATGTTAAATGTG